CATAAATAAACCTTTGAGTACTGGGAAAGTTTGGCTGGCCAAAAAAACCTCATTATCAAACAAGTTGTTTAAATAAAGAATTACAGAAACTATGTCATTTTATTGTGAGGCAATTCACGCTTCGGCTGTGAAATCTGATTCTTACTGCTTTTATTTACATCTTTATGTATGATGCAATGTAGTTTATAGAATTATCATGCTTGATTTTTACTGTGTGTCTTTTCTAGAATGAAATTTCTCCAAGGCAGGGACTTTTGTCTCCTTTGTTCATTGAGGTTCTGCAGGCATCTAAAAATGCCTGCCACATGGTAGAGGCTAAATGAGCATTTTGTGAATGACTGTCTTTTCATAGGTACCTTTTAAAAAAGCAATCAATACTAAAGATTTGCTAAAAAGCAGTTTGGCAGCATACATCAGCATCCTAAAATGTGCTGCACTCTTGATGTAATAATTCTTCTTTAGAACTAAAGAAATAAAGGGCATTTATATACAAAGCTGTGCAAAGAAGTTTATTGATAATGGATAAAATGGAAATAACCTAGATGTTATTTAGGTAGGGAAAGGCCTAAATAAATTATAGTACACACATAAACGAGAATGGTGTGCAGCCATGAAATAGGTTTTTAAAACTTCAACAAGGTAGATTAAGCAAGAAAATCAGGATATAAAATAGTATATACACTATAGCCCCAATCATTTAAAAAAATGCACAGGAAAAAACTAGTATTAAAGTAAATAAGTGCAAATAGTGGGTATTTTTAGGTTCATACTCCAATAACTTACATTGCTTTTACACATACACACAAAATACACATTTTCAAAGAGATTTAATATTAACACTTTTCCTAACACAGTTTTACTGTTTCTCATTTAACGTATCTTAGAAAGGAATTTGTACTAAGAGAACAGTCTGTGGTTTCTCTTAACTAACATATTAAACTTCAATAAATTCAAGTTTTCAGGGATAGTTAATTTTAATGGGCATTTTTGTCCCTGAAGTGATTTTTCTTCGTAGGAAACAGACTTTAAATTTAAACTGTTAAAGGGTAGCAGTGGTGTTCCTATTCCTTTCTAACTGAAGCTTAAGACTTTCATCTTTAATTAATTAATTAATTAATTATTATTTGAGATGAAGTCACTCTGCTGCCCAGGCTGGAGTGCAGTGGCACAATCTTGGCTCACTGCAACCTCTGCCTCTCGAGTTCAAGAGATTCTCCTGCCTCAGTCTCCTGAGTAGCTGGGACTACAGGCACCCACCACCATGCCCAGCTAATTTTTGTAATTTTAGTAGAGACAGGGTTTCACCGTGTTGGCCAGGGTGGTCTCGAACTCCTGAACTCAGGTGATCAGCCTGCCTTGGCCTCCCAAAGTGCTGGGATTACAGGTGTGAGCCACTGCACCCAGCCAAGACTTTTATCTTTAAAGAAGAACATTTGAGGCCGGGCGCGGTGGCTCAAGCCTGTAATCCCAGCACTTTGGGAGGCCGAGGCGGGTGGATCACGAGGTTGAGAGATCGAGACCATCCTGGTCAACATGGTGAAACCCCGTCTCTACTAAAAATACAAAAAATTAGCTGGGCATGGTGGTGCGTGCCTGTAATCCCAGCTACTCAGGAGGCTGAGGCAGGAGAATTGCCTGAACCCAGGAGGCGGAGGTTGCGGTGAGCCGAGATCGCGCCATTGCACTCCAGCCTGGGTAACAAGAGCGAAACTCCGTCTCAAAAAAAAAAAAAAAAAAAAAAAAAAGAAGAAGAACATTTGTAGTCTTATACTTAGAATACTTAGGTAAGCTGTTCCTCCACTTTGCTGAAATTAAAGAATGAAATTGCTGAGGGGTGGTGGGGAAATATACAGTATTTTGACCCTGAGATTGAGAGTCTCATACTCTACCAACTGAGCTAGCCAGGCAGTTCAATATTTTGAATAAGAAAACTTTTATTGTAGATTAGGTGCCATTACCCACTAGCACTGTGCTATTTAGCAAGTCATGCCCAGGTTCTGCATTTGCAAAGTAGTGCTAATTACACTATCAAATGTGGTTGACGTCAAGTCAAGCAAGCTTATACATAGTAGTACTTTGTAAATGATAAATGGTAGTTATCAATTTGTATAATCTTGCTAGGCAATTATAGACTTCATTAAAAATAATTTGGTTATCAGCTAAATTCTGACTATTATAAAATGGCATCCGAAGTCCTAAGAATTGTTAACAGTATCAATTTGACAGAACACCTTAAATTAAAAACTAACTTTTAAAAAACAGAACTGATACTGAGTACTGAAAATAATTCCCTGGCTGGGCACGGTGGCTCACACCTGTAATCCCACACTTTGGGATGCCAAGGCAGTTGGATCACCTGAGGTCTCCAGCCTGGCCAATATAGTGAAACCTCATTTCTATTAAAAATACAAAAATTAGCCAGGCATGGTGGTGGGCACCTGTAATCCCAGCTACTCAGGAGGCTGAGGCAGGAGAATCTCCTGAACCCGGGAGGTGAAGATTGCAGTGAGCCAGGATCACGCCACTGCATTCCAGGCTGGGAGAAAGAGCGAGACTGTCTCACGGAAAAAAAAAAAAAAAGAAAAAAGATAGAAAGAAAAAAGAAGAAGAAGAAAATGATTCCCTAATACATTGTTTATTTTTATGTTTTTAAATTTAATTTCTATATTTGTAAAAAATATAGAAGCAGAGTCTCACTATATTGCCCAGACTGGGTTTGAACTCCTAAGCTCAAACAATCCACCTGCCTCCATTTCTCAATGTGCTGGGATTACAGGCATGAGCCGCTGCACCTGGCTGAAATATTTCTAAGATTTGGGCAGTAGGAGGTACCAAAGAGCTTTGCAGCTAGTCACGCTCTTTGCTCCTCTACTAATTTGGCAACCACCAATATTTATAATATATATCAAAGTGCTTTGAAAACATAAAACACAATGCCACAATGTTATAATAATGATGCTATTCATACTGTGAATATAATAAAGTCCTTCAGTTCTGAAAAGAAAATGTTAAATCTAGCGTATAAACTACGGGCAGTAGGGAGACATCTTTAGGTTAATGGGGCCATTAGGAGTATTATAATTAGAATAGATGCATTTTATTATTTGTTTCAACTGAAGTCTATTTGGCTAAGATGTTATTGAATGACATAAGTAAATGAATATAAAATTAAACCAATAATATTAGAAGTAGGAAAATATCTAAAGATAAACAATAGATCAGCTAAATCCTGTTGATAAGAAGAGAATTAATTCTGTGTTTTAATTTTCTGATTGCTTTGTGTAGAAGAGTTTTAACTTTCTGATTGCTTTGTGTAGTTAACGTTTATTGATATGATTTGATTTGTGTCTCTTTTAGGGGAATATGTTTCATTATGGTGTTCTAAAGAATGTAATGTAATTCTTAAAAATATTTTCAGAGATGAGGTTTTACTTGTTGTCCAGGCTGGAGCACAGTGGTGAGATCTCAGCTCACTGCAACCTCCATCTTCTGGGTTCAAGCCATTCTCCTGCCTCAGCCTCCTGAATAGCTGGGATTACAGGCATGTGCCACCATGCCTAACTAATTTTGGTATTTTCAGTAAAGATGGGATTTCACCATGTTGGCCAGGCTGGTCTCGAACCCATGGGCTCAAGTGAGCCAACCACTTCCACCTTCCAAAGTGTTGAGATTACAGGTTTGAGCCACCACATCCAGATAATATTTTTCAAAACAAGTTCTTAGCTTATTGTATACCTCGCAACTGCCCAGGATGTCACCCAGGCTGAAGTTCAATGGCGTGAACATGGTTTACTTCAGTCTCAACCTCCCAGGTTCAAGTGATCCTCCTGCCTCAGCTAGCATGGTGGAGCGCATCTGTAGTCTCAGCCACTTGGGAGGCTGAGGCAGGAGGATTGTTTGAGCCCGGGAGTTAGAGGCTTCAGTGAGCTATGATTGAAGCCTGTTTAGATCAATAATTCTTCCTGTAGTCCCTGAGTAGCTGGGATTATGGGCATGGGCCACCAAGCCTGGCTAATAATTTACATTGTATTTTTTGCAGAGATGAGGTCTCCCTATCTTGCCCAGTCTGGTTTCAAACTCCTGGGCTCAACCAATCTTCCTGCCTTGGCCTCCCAAAGTGCTGGGATTACAGGTGTAAGCCACAACACCCAGCCTCCCAGGTGGTTTTTATGCCCAGGAATGTTTGAGAAACATTATGTAAATTATAGCAAGCCTTAAGAAAATCAAAGCAAAATGATAATTTAAATGTCATCACCTGCCCCAGCATAGTTTTGTCAATTTTGGTGGAAGTTAAAGCGAAAAAAAATTTTTGTAGCTTTATTTTATATTTGGTTTCAACTTACTTATTATTTATTTTGAGACCAAGTCTTGCTCTCTTGCCCAGGCTGGAGTGCAGTGGTGCAGTCTCAGTTCATTGCAACCTCTGCTTTTCAGGTTCCAGTGATTCTCCTGCCTCAGCCTCCAGAGTAGCTGGAATTCGAGGCGCCTACCAACACACCCAGCTAATTTTTGTATTTTTAGTAGAGACAGGGTTTCACCATGTCAGTCAAGGAGGTCTCAAACTCCTGACCTAAGGTGACCCATCCACCTCGGCCTCTCAAAGTGCCAGGATTACAGGTATGAGCCACCACACCTGGTTGTTTTAAACTTTTTAGAAGACAGGGTCTTGCTCTGTCCTCCAGGCTAGAAAGCAGTGGGATGATCATAGCTCACTGCAGCATCAAACTCCTCGGCTCAAGTGATTCTCAGCTTCCCAAGTAGCTGGGACTACAAATGAATAAATAATTAGCCTGCATTCCACCCAGGCTAATTATTATTATTATTGTTGTTTTTATACAGACTAGGGTCTCACTATGTTGCCTAGGCTGGTCTCAAACTCCTGGGCTAAGGCAATCTTCTTGCCTTGGCCTCCCAAAGTGTTGGGATTATAGGTGCGAGCCACTGTGCTCAGAAGAAAAGATATATAAGACCAAGAGAATAAAATATAAAAATACACTCACCTGTTTCAGGTGTTTTATGAAAGAATGGAGAACTCCAAGACTGCCAGTACCTTTTGCCTGTTTCTTGACATCTCACTTGAAATACGTACTTAATGTTTGGCTCCAAGTAGAATTCTGACTGCTGCACATATGTAAAATTGGTGTCAAATTCTTTAACCTAAAATCGATGGATAACAATAATAAAATATGGTGTGCTTTTAAAACAATTATTTTATTTAGCAGAAATGTATGGAGCACCTATTATGTTTCAAGCTCTCTTCTAGACCCTAGGAAAACAAAGTGTACTTTATGTTAAAAATGGCTGTACATAATCAAATACTGTCTCAAACATTAGAAGTGAAATACAGACTGCTTTTTTTGAGACAGAGTCTCACTTTGTCCCCCACACTGGAGTGCGATGGTGCTATCCTGGCTCACTGAAACCTCCACCTCCCAAGGTTCAAGTGATTCTCCTGCCTTATCCTCCTGACTAACTGGGATTACAGATGTGTTACCACCACACCCAGCTAATTTTTTGTATTTTTAGTAAAGACGGGTTTCACCATGTTGGCCAGGCTGGTCCTGAATGTTTGACTTCAAGCGATCAGCCTGCCTCAGCCTCCCAAAGTGCTGGAATTATAGGCATGAGCCACCATGCCCAGTCCACACTGCTTTATGTTTGACAACTGTCTCAAATCTCAAGAAAGTCCAAATGTAATATTATGTATATATATTTATATGTGTGTATATTTATTTATGCATGTGTGTGTGTGTCTGTATTTTAGATAGGGTCCCACTCTGTTGCCCAAGCTTGAGTGCAGTGGCTTGATCACGGCTTACTGCAACCTTCACCTCCTCTTGGGCTCAAGCGATCCTCCAACATCAGCCTCCCAAGTAGCTGGGACTACAGGCATGTACAACCAAGCTTGGATAATTTTTAAATTTTTTTGTAGAGACAGGGTCTCATTATATTGCACAGGCTAGTCTCCTGGGCTCAAGTGATCCTTCTACCTTGGTGTCCCAAAGCGTTGGGATTACAGGCATAAACCACCATAGCCAGCCTTAATTTGGGAACATATTCTTAATTTTGGAATATATTCTTTTAATGGAGTGGGGAAATGGGAGACCTGATAGCAACTGTTTAAATTCCCCTCTACCCTGCAGCTGGATATTTAGATCAATAATTCTCCCTGAATGATGAAATAATTTTACTCGCTAATGACTTTTAGAAAAAAATACCGATAAGCTAAGCTGTAAATTTGTCCTCATTGCAGGTTTTGCAGATTCTAAAAGGCCCAATAATATATCTGTGTGTATGTATCAGAGAAAAATTAAAATATTAAGAATGTTGAGGCCGGGCGCGGTGGCTCAAGCCTGTAATCCCAGCACTTTGGGAGGCAGAGGCGGGTGGATCACGAGGTCGAGAGATCGAGACCATCCTGGTCAACATGGTGAAACCCCATCTCTACTAAAAATACAAAAAATTAGCTGGGCATGGTGGCACGTGCCTGTAATCCCAGCTACTCAGGAGGCTGAGGCAGGAGAATTGCCTGAACCCGGGAGGCGGAGGTTGCGGTGAGCCGAGATCACGCCATTGCACTCCAGCCTGGGTAACAAGAGCGAAACTCTGTCTCAAAAAAAAAAAAAAAAAAGAATGTTGAACTGAGAAATTCAATGGAGGATAAAGAAAATAGCTGAGGAATAAAGACAAAAATCTTTTTTCTCTGGAGCATTGTACCCTGCTATAAAACATAATGAAAAATGAGCTCCAAACAAGCTGTTTCTGTTGGCAGAAAGAAACCACGGCATTTGTACAGCATCTTTAGTATGTTCTAGTAAGCGATTTACTGGAAAAAGTGAAGCATGATTGAAAGGCCGACATAAAATACGTCAATATGTTTAGAAACGCATTTATGCAACAACTAGGTGAAAACAGTTATCAGGTACTCATGAAAGAGAAAGTTAGAATGATTGAGATTAAAAAAGAAAAAGAACAAGGTATCAACCTCATTCAGAGATACTTCCATTTAAAACCCAATCTTAACATCAATCTTTAAAACTTGCAATGCACTGAAAATACTTGTTCGGGGGATGTCATCTGCCCTAGAATAGTTTTGTCTGTTGAGACACGGCTTATGGAAACTCTGAATGATAGTTTTCAAACTCTGAATGAAAGGTATCATTCAGAATTTCCATAAGCCATGTCTCTAGTCATGGCCCTGGAAATTTTCCACAATGTTAATATAACTGGTGGGTGTCTGAGGTCTCCCGGGATCTAGAGAAATTTTACGTACTGTGCCAAAGATTTGACTTTCAAATGCACTCTGCTTCATATTAGTGTCTCTTGTAAGGAAGCTGTTATTCTCCAACATGTTTCTTACCATTACATTTATAGATAAGTCCTCTTGAAGGAAAGAAATACTCTGAAGTATAGTCAGAATTCAGAAACAGTAAGAAGAATGTTATGGAACTGTTATCAGCTGTTTAAACCATGAGGCAGACCAGGTGACTGCTGATGGCTCTGCAAGTACAAGCTGATGCCTCAGGATGATATCTTCAGAGGCTAAAATGAATATGGACAGAGATGGACTTAATTGAGTGCCTCTGTAAAGAATATAATTTCAAGAGTGCAAGAAATTTTGAAATAAGTCCATTCTGCTTAGAGCCTCAATTCTGAAAGTTGGGGTCATTGAAACTTCATGTTCAGCAGTTTGAGATCTCTCTTTTCTTAGGCTAAATGTAAGTTCCTGGGAGCATCTTTAGGTGGAGGGAAGAAGAATCTCCAACCTAGTTAGAGTTCTGTAATTCCTACCTTCCCTAACCATCAATCTGGGACATGGTGCAGGATGAGAGGGTCCTCGGTAACCCACCAGTGTCTAAATCCTCGGTTTCTCACTTTACCCTACCCTGCAATCTCCCCCTCTTTCTGCCCAAGTAATTTTCATCCAGCGTTTGGTAGAGGATGGAAATGAGGTGGTGACTGGGAAACTTATCTGTGACTAATCAAACATTCTTCCAATTTTCTGTCGTATACCAACCCTCAGACTTGGAATGCCAAAGCCAAGGATTTGTCTTTGCTATCTGTATGCCATTCTGACAGCCCTTCCAGGAAAAGAATAAATACTTGGGTTTGTGCAGCCTAAAAATGGTTTTCGCATTTTTAAATGGTGAAAGAAAAATTTTTAAAGATGACTTCATGATGCATGGAAATTATGTGAAATTCAAATTTCAGTGTCCAAAAATGAAATTTTATTGGAACAGACTATGCCCATTCATTTCCATAATTGTCTATGGCTGCTTTCATGCTACACACACAGAGTTGAGTCGTTGAGACAGAAATCTTATGTTCTGCAAAGCCTAAAATGTTTACCATTTGTCCCTTGAATAAAAAGTTTGCTGAGACCCTGGGCTAGGTAATTAAAGAAATGAGTCACGAATAATCCACTTACTTGAACACATAGCTAAGATTTCCCTGCCTCTGTCACTAAAGTTGGACACCATTAAAGACAAATAATCATAGTAATAGCTAATGTTTCCAAATATTGTCTACGTGAACTTGACATTATAAAAAATCAATGGAGATGCAAAAAACCATGGCACATCCTTGCCTTCCATTTTATAGTTAAAGGGCAGAGAAATAGAAGTGTAAATAGGCAAGTATATACAATGTGGCAAATACCCCTGAAACAGAGTATAGGAAGTAGGTGTGGATTGCTGTTGGCAACTGGGAGCTCAATTTTTGACATGCATTTGAGGGACCTGGGAGAGTCCATAAAGATACCAGCAAATGCTAGAAATGTAGGTCTGACTTTCATGGGAGTTGGGAGGGCTCCAAGTTCTAGCCTACATCCAGGTGTAGCTGAGGCCTTGGGAGTAGGTGAAAGGAGTAAGAAAGAGAGGGGAGTAAGGTGGTAGGTATGAAGGGAATGTCAGTGTTCAGGGAATTGGCAGAAAAAATAATTTATAGAGGAAAGGGCAGCCAGAAATACTGATAGAAGACTAAGAAATTCTTGAGGCCGGGCGCGGTGGCTCAAGCCTGTAATCCCAGCACTCTGGGAGGCCGAGGTGGGTGGATCACGAGGTCGAGAGATCGAGACCATCCTGGTCAACATGGTGAAACCCCATCTCTACTAAAAATACAAAAAACTAGCTGGGCGTGGTGGTGCATGCCTGTAATCCCAGCTACTTAGGAGGCTGAGGCAGGAGAATTGCCTGAGCCCAGGAGGCGGAGGTTGTGGTGAGCCGAGATCGTGCCATTGCACTCCAGCCTGGGTAACAAGAGCGAAACTCCGTCTCAAAAAAAAAAAAAAAAAAAAAAGAAATTCTTGAAATGGGAAAACCGAGAGGAGAGACATTTTCAGGACAAGGTGGTCAACAGCGTCAAATGCTAGGGTAGGATGAAGATGGCCAAGGCTCTCGGCCTTTGTTGTTTGGAAAGATGCTACCATCTTCCTCTCCTCCCACGAACTGGTTCCAGCAGAGGGAGAGAGCCTTCATTACATTTTGAAGTGGATTGCAATAATGCTCAGGTCATTTCCCTGTCCTATGTCCTTGCCCTTTACAATGTAGCTTTGAATATCCTCCCGTTCTGGCTCTGGTCTGTCCATGTGGCTTGCTTTGCGGCAACAGATATCAGTGAGCCCGATATAAGCAGAGGATTTCAAGACGCTGGAGAGATTGGGCTTAGGTGCTCTTGCCATCTGCCATCAGCATAAGAACATACCCAGGCTAGCCTGCTGATGGCAGAAAGAGGACCTGGAGACGTGTAGAGAAGAGCTCATGCAAAGACATAGGAGCGAGCCAGCTGAGCTGCAAACATATGCCCAATCCCAGCTAAGCTCAGCCTAGACCAGTTGGACCCACTGACAGTGAGAAATAAATGTTTATTGCTGAATGTCACTCCAGGGTTTGTGGCAGTTTGTTATACATTATTGTAGCAGTTGATAGCCGATATACCAATCCCTCTTATTTCATGTAAATAGGAGTATGCAACAGATTAGAAAAATGTTTAGAAAATGGAAAGGAATTCTATTACCAGTGTCTCTGGAGAAGTTTTCAGAAGCCAGCTGTTTTCTGGGTGAAACTCTTGTTCTCTGCTCTCCCTGATGGTGCTACATAGACCATCTTGGTAACAGGTACCTTTGAGCTCACTTTTCAAAACTTTCCCTTTATCAGAAG